TTTTTTTGTATGGAGATTGATGTAATGTACATACATAGGTGTATGGATATGGGATAAGGGACGCTCCTGCTTTCTTGTCTCGATGTGTCTTAAATGTACATGTTAAAAATTTCTATGCATTTCAAAATATTTCAATTTCCTACCTAATTTCATATATACATAATATCGAGCCCTAACCGCCAAAATAACGTAAGCGACATTTTTTTCAAAATTTTCTTTTTGATGCAGAAATGTATCTAGATGGTCAGGAATATTTCTGCATTAAAAAGAAAATTTTGAAAAAAAATGTCGCTTACGTTATTTTGGCGGTTAGGGCTCGATATGTATTACATATGAATGTATGCTTGAATTTTCATATTTTTGGTCAACAGGGCGAGTGGTTTTCCATTTACTTAACTAAACGATTTTTCTCATTAACATCTGTATATTAGGGCGGGGCAATTTGTATGAGGGATTTTTTTCGGAAAAGTCAATATGGGCAAATCCGAGCAATAGTCATCCAAAAACGAAAAAAATACATGCAATTCCAACTCTTGCATTTGAGTTTCAAAAATGGCATTGTACGATATATATATAGTAATTTCACATTTCTTCTCACTTATCTGATAAATCTGATTTGCCCTAAATACTGAACGCTTCTCTTAAAACGTAAGAAAATTTCAAAATGGTTCAGTGTTGCCTCTTCTGCTAGATGTTTTAAGAAAAATGCAAGTCTACAAAAGGATTGAGCATGTTTTTTATTAAAAAAGTTGAATACTTCTTAATGACACCACATCAAAATAAAACGTTGCTAAGGAAAAAAGCTATTTTCGCAATTTGGCCAGCTCGAAATTGATTTAATATCCATAGTTTCTTCAGCAAATTCTCTTAGATTTCAAGTCCAAAACTTCTATACCCTGACCACATTTTTAACAAAAACTGACCCAGCCTAATGTACGTACATAATTATATGTAGGTATTTCACTTTTAATTAAGCATTTCGAATGCCTCGTTTTCGAAATTTCAAAACGAATAACCAAAATATTCAAATTATACGTATGTATGTGTGTATGTTCATACATACGTAAGCATTTGGTAATTTCTAAAAATGTAATACGAACCTTCTATTTATTGCTTATTTGTGTTGTGCTGAGTGAAATGATCTGCGTTATTTGAGATTTTTTAGCTGGCTGGTGGCCAATTGTGAAATACAACTAATTGGAATTTGCACGCTCGTGAGTGAAAATCGTGTGCAAAAGAGACATTTACATACAAATGAAAGAAATTTGGAGAAAAATTAGTAGAGAGAGAGAGAGAGAGAGTTAACAAGAAAAGAAAGCTGAAGAGAACATAAAAATATGGAATCAAAATGTGGAGGATAACAAACGTAAGGCAGAATTTTGTAAAGTACGATGATGAAGTTGAAAGCATTTTGAATGAGAGCAAATAAAGTAGTGTTTTGCAGTTCCAAAAATTTTATCTAACTTTTATAACGTTTTCTAAATCAAACTTATTTTTTCATAAGTTTAGCCTTGGAAACTAATACATTTTTTATTCTAATTTTTTTTCAGATTCTTTAGCAGCGCCAGCTCTACAAAAAACCACAATAATGCACTGCATCAATCGTTAACTGCATAAATTTTCAAAAAATAAAATCAAAATAAAAAAGTCTGATTTAAAAGTAATAAATTTAAATTAAAAAAGGCACACACACACACACACTAAGCAAAAAAAAAATGCTGCAACATACCGCCACAGATTTCTATGACTTGGCCGCCGCCAACGCTGCTGTGCTGAGTGCGCGTCAAACGCCACCCTATAGTCCGACGGGTTTAATCGGCACAGCCGGACCGGGTCTCAGCAATAATAACAACAACAGTACAAGCAATAATAATTTGGATATGTTGGGGCATAATGGCAGCCTTATTGGTTCAGGCGGTGGAATTGGTGGTAGCATTGGACATATCGGCAATGGCAATGGCGGTAGCAATGGACGTGAAACTTTGCCCAGTTTTGGATTCACGCAAGAGCAGGTGGCTTGTGTTTGTGAGGTGAGTGAAGAATGGAATTGATTATGTACCTTGCATTCAGGGAACAAGTAGAGCCCAAGTGACAAGATTTTTATTACTATTTGTTTGTTTGTTTTTTTTTTTTGCTTCTCTCCAGGTCCTTCAACAGGCTGGCAACATCGAAAGACTGGGGCGATTTCTTTGGTCCCTGCCGCAATGTGATAAACTGCAATTGAACGAGTCTGTGCTGAAAGCAAAGGCCGTTGTTGCATTCCATCGTGGACAATATAAGGAATTATATCGTCTACTCGAGCATCATCAATTCTCACCACATAATCATGCGAAATTGCAAGCGCTGTGGTTGAAAGGTAAGCGAAGT